GAATGGCAGAATAGAGTGGGGGAGTCCAGATTCCTTTCACTCATCCTCACTGTTTGTGGTGAGACAGCCCAGTCCCATGAAGTAGCAAGCTGAGATTTTTCTTGAAAACAGAATTTATGTTGGTTTTGCTGCTGTGACTTGATATGATTTCCTTTAGCTGAGTTACTGTTACTTTGCAGGCTCCCCCAGTTCTCCTCTCAGTTCTTCTCTCAGTTCTTTGGACTATGAACTTCTCTTTTGCTGAGATCTCCCCTCAAATAGGGGATGTTTTCTGCTGGGTGAGGTCCCTTAGCAGCTCCCTGCCAGCTCTCACTGTGCTGGGAGCTGATGCTGCCTCTGGGGCTCTGGGTTTAAGTGTTGTTTACACACACTCAGATCTGCTCAGCCTCACAAGTGTGAAGAGGAATTGAGGGGGCTACACTTGTGCTTGACAATGTGTGTTTTTAGTGTGCACCAAAATGAGCTGTTTCTCTCAGAACAGGTGATGTCAGGACACACTCTTAGAAATCCCAATACTTTATAGTGTGGCCATTTCCCCCTTAATTGTCATTTTGATGGAAACTGCCCTGTTTTGAGAAAAAACTTTATTAGCGACCCTCTTCCAGTATTGTGTAATCCCTTTATCTGTATTAACTTCCATCTGCTGAGATGTTTGTATAGTATTTTGCTGTAGTAACTGAAGTGGTGATAAGACAGGAGGTTTTTAGGTGAAGTTCCAAGTGGTTTTTTACCTTTCACAGAATCTTGCTCGGTGTGAGGGCTAAGGGTGTTTAAGGAAGCAAATGCATTTTTCAACTGCCCCATTTTTACTTTTAGAAGTGTTTCTCTCAATAAAGCAGTGGACTGTACATCTATTAATAACATCCTTACATGGAAACAACTGCTCAGTTACACCTCAGAGAGGACAGATCAGCTTTTTTGAGGTTTGCCTCTTCCTGTGAACTCTGGCACAATCTGATTTAATTTGTAACAGCAAAGACTTTCAGTGGTTAATTACACCTTTGAGGTTGTTAATATATTCAATATTATTTAAGAGCTTAAATACCCAGAAGGAGCTCAAGTACAAATCCCATGAACCCCCAATGGAAAAAATCAGTATCAAAATCATAAAGCTTTGTCTTTGCCTTCTAGAAAATACTGCTTTTGCTGTACTTCTACACATGTCCTAAATTATTTTTTACATTTAAAATTGATCACTTTACTAAAGTCCTCATGTCGCCAAAAAACCCCAAAACAAAAACCAAAGAATGACATCAGGGTGGCAAATCTGAGGGTTTAATATGTATTTCTGAACTTGAAGTTTTATAATTCAACATTTGTAAGTTATTTTGTGCTTTTTTTTCCTTTTTTTCCCGCCTTATTTTTCCTTTTTTTCCCAGACTGAGCATCTTTATTCAACAACTGCTGTCAGAGCAGGATTTGCTGAACACTTTCAATAACAGTGACACTATTTTATTTCTGCCCTGGTGTTCTGGGACCATATCTTGGTGTTCGAGGCCACATCTTCCAGGAATTTTATACAAGGAGCAGCAGAAAAGAACACTTATCTAACAGAGCCACAACTTCACTGTCAACTATAAAAGAAGAGCCAACAGATTCTAAGTTAGATTAAAAGTCAGATGTGAACAGAGGCAAATGCTCCCGTAGGCACAGGGCATCTCTCTGAAGAGAAATTGTTGAAAATGCAAATGGCTGAAAGAGAGTTCAGTGTGATTGCTTTGTGTTTCACAGGCACTGTGGTTTTGTGTGCCCCAGGTCAGCTCTCTGGAGATGAACAGCCAAGATTTCTGGTTTCTGGAAGACCTACAGTAGCTTTTCACATGCCACCTTCAAACTCCTCCCGTTGGCTTTGCAGGCAGAGTCACTCTGGGGAAGGGTTCCTTCAGGGGCCTGGGTAACAGATGCGAGCATGGTCCCCTCATGCAGCCTGACAGCACAGGGCAAATACTAGAGAAGAAAAAAATCAGCTTTTTAAAAGTTATTATTATTTTTTCTCCCAGCTCAGAGCTGTCACATTAGCTCTTCCAGTTGTAAAGGCATCCTTGACAGGACAGCACATCTTAATGATGCCAAACATCATCTTCACCATAGCTCTTACAAGTAGGCAGGGGCTCATAATCAGTTCAGACTCCATTGGGAGGCCATCAACTGGATGAGGAACAATTGACCTTTCAGGAAGAGCTGTACAATTAGAGGCAAGCTAGATAAAAGTGCACACAAGATAGAGTGAAATTGGAAAGCAGCATATTTGCATCAGATAAGAACCAAGATGATGCTGGGACATAGGTTCTGTCCATCTTCAGGCAGAGAAAATGCATCCAAAATCTTCTTTTCGGGAGGTGAGTTCACCACAACTGTATGCCCAGAAGAGTGTGATAAAATTAATGACTGTCCTCCTCCAGTTTGATGATAAATCCACGTGCCAGTGGAGAAACCAGTCACACACACACAACACCATTAAACCCCCTCTTCTTACTGGTTTAACTTGACAAAACAGTCTCCTATATCGCTGTTTCACATCCAAGGCAATCTAGAAGCTCACAGAAGTTCACTGAAAATTATTATTCAATTTTGTGCCTCCTCTTTGCCTCTCACTTCTTGATCAGAGCACAGCAAATGAAGACAGATTTAAGGAGGATGAGCATGAGGAGATCAGAGTGAAAGTGCAGGAAGCTGAAAGTTGGAGTTTCCAGTCGAGAGACTCTAAGGTTTGGCATGATGTAAGGGCCAAAATTCTCTGACCTGAGCAGGGGTCACTGATTTTGTTCAGAGGCTGTTGTGGTTCTGGGCTGGAAAGAGGAAAGGCAGGAGAAGCAAACAGGCAGTAGAGTGTCATCCTGATAGGCAAGAGTGATTCCACCAGCAGTACTTAATGAGCAGAAAAATCATTGATTAGCTTAGTAGTGGGCAGACTAGAGAAGAAGAGTTCTTTAAATAAGACTTAGAGCAACCTGTTTGCAAGATACCATTAAAGCCTGTCTGGTGTTTGATCCTAAATTTGAAGAAAGAAGAGGAAAAGAATACTTTGAAGCAGTGGTTGATCCTAAATTTGAAGAAAGAAGAGGAAAAGAATACTTTGAAGCAGTGGTCTGGTGCCTTGAAAGATTTCAAGTCAAAGTGGCGAGGCAAAGATGGAGAGAGGTACACAAATACTATTCATGACATTTTATCCCAAAATGTCAAGTGCTAAAGCTGTGGAAATATGCTTGCATGGTAGGTGCAGCACTGCATAATTGAAGCCCCATTAGAGTTAAGGAAATCTGTACTTTCTGGCCTTTATTTGTTTAAAAATAAAAGCTTTGTCAACACTGTATGTTCTGCTGAGTACACATGGCACTAAATCTCAGTGCAAAGTGCTGAGGTTTCAGGGATTGAGCAGAGATGTTCCCTATGGCACCTTTCCCTTTGATCTCAGAGATTGACCTTTGGCAGCCTTTGCCCTTACTTTACATCTGTCCTGTCCTTTCCTGAATTCCTGGGTACAAACACTGATGTCTTTTTGCTCTGAAACCAGGGAATGCACGTGTTTAGCTGGTATATGTAAAAAATGGTGAAAATGCTTGTCTTTATTTTTATCACTGAGGAAATGTGCATCACTGAGTGTTGAACTGTTAAACCAAGAGTTCTGGAAGGGTCCTAACTCAGTCATCCCTTATAGAGACAAACAAGTCTCTTCCTCAGTTCTTTGGTATCCCACAAAATTGTGCCCACATTTCTACAGGAGTGCCCTTGAGAGAGTGTGGCTTGGAAATTGGTTCTGGATACTCCCCATCCACTCATGTTTTCCCAAGACTTCCCAAGCAACCCCCGCACCACACTTGGCCAGAAACTCCCCTCCAGAAATGTCGCTGTGCTGTCGGCAGGAATCCCATGCAGAGGAAACAAACATGTGGGACAAACGTCCCTGCTACTGGAGGAAAGCCTATTTGTGTCAGCTGCATTAGAAAGATTGTTCCAGAACAGTTCATCCATGTGTAAAGTTGCCCCTATAATTCTGCCAAGGCTGAGGAGCTCAGGGAGATCTGCTGGCAACAGCGCCAGCGGCTCTTTCATCCACCCAATTTTTCTGAGGTGCTGGAGGTCAGAGAGGAGCAGATATGTAATTTGCCTGTCTGAACCAGTTCTTCTTCCTTGTTTAGTGTAGCTGGAGAGTTTTCGTGCTGTGAACCAAACTTCGAGGAGCAAAATATCGATACTGAAGAATTTAAATGGCAGAACCCATCTCCCCACCCTGCAGTTTGCCTCATGCAGATAAAGATGAGGAGAGCACTTGTTGCAGGCTCTTCCCTTTGGAAGCTCTTCAGTGTTATAAATCACAGGTACACTTTGCAATGGGCCTTCCTGGTTATTTACCTTCAGATAATTACACAGCATGGGCTATTTTTTCCCTCTCTTTTTGAGGAAAGTATTGTGGGAGTTACTTTGGTTTCTTTGAATTTGACCTTTGTCAGTTTTGGAGGAAAAAAATACATTTTCTGTTAGTCAAAGTAAATTAGGTGTATTCGTTATAGCAACTCAGAGGATTAAGCACAATTACTCATTTTTTCTTCCTCAAGGTAATGATTTAATTGCTTTGATTTTGTTTTGTTCATATCCTGAGGAAAAAAATTATGATACTAGAAGAAAATGCATTTAAATATTCTTTTCCCTACAGTGTATGCTTCTGTATGCCTGGCAGAACTGGCCTCATGTTGACCTTGTCCTTCTGGTGCTCTCCTTAGGAATTTCACTTCCTAAAATTTTAAGGCTTTGTGTGTGTTTGTTGGTGTAGGGGTGTGTGTGTATATATGCAAACACACAAAAATAAAATACACTATACGAACATACATAAATATGTGTTTATATAGAACTATTTTTATGTGTGTGTGTGTCTATATATGTACATACGCATATAAAAATAAAATAAATGCTGGCTTTCCCTTTAACTTTGAAAGTGTTTTGTTTTCTTTCAGCTCCAGCAAACTGGATTGAATTACAACTGAATTGAATGCACTTCTATAGCACCTTCCCCCAGGGATCTAAACCAATTTTCTCACCATTGCTAAATGCTGAACTTCCCTTGTACCCTTGCAGAGTAAGTAGGATGCTGCTGTCTGTGCTCTAGGGTAGGAAAATTAGGAAAAGTGTTGAATGCAGCATGCTGGAAGAGAAAGTGATAAGATATTTAACTCTTGGTTTTGAATATTGACGTGTGTTCACACAGTTGTACTTCTCTGGGGGAGTGAAGCCTCACAACATGTAACTTTAATAATGGAAAAGGAAGGGGAATATTTATCCCTGTAGCACTGTAACTGTGTGTTTGGTCAGTGCTGGGCACAACTTTGGGATGGAGTAGGGACAAACAGGTAAAATCAGGAAGGAACAGTACCAGGTGTTTTTGAGATATATGGAGTGTGTTTCTGACTTGACCCCCTGTTCTGTTTTAGCTTGACCAAGCACTGTGGCTCCAGCTTCTGAAAAAAGACACTTAGAAGTCAATTCAGGGAGGAGAGGGGAAGAAAATAGCTGCAGGTCTCAGGTGCTTGTCTATTGTAACCCCTGGCCAAGGCAGGGCTGCCAGCGAGCGAGCTCTGCTCGTATGCCACATCTGATGCAAAGGGTTCAATATATGGTGACAGGGACAGAAGATTTGCCTTCCAGAATTTGGGTTTTTTTTCAGTTTCTTGCACGGCCATTCTGTGTGTTTAACAAACAAAGGGGAGAGTGTGATGATATTCACCATCCTCTGGTGATTCCACAGTGGTTGTGTTCCTAATAAACAGTAAAAAGAAAGCTGACTGCAGGAAGGTTGGTGGCTAGGTTAATATACACTGTAGTGGAGTCATTTAAAATAATCCAAGCAAAGAAAGAAGATTTATATAAAAGTACATTTCCATTACTTGTGCCTCTGGCACAGTAATGTCTCAGCTAGCATAGCAAAAAGCTAACAACATTATTCTTGTTTTTCTTTGTAACATCCATAGCCTTTAGTACTGCTTTCCTTTGTTAATTTTTGAAAGACTAGTTGTTAATTAAGAGACATATTTGACTCAAAGGCAAGTCTTGACTGAAAAGAGCTCAGAGAACATGGCAGGACTCTTGTGTTATGGGGTTTTACAATTACTTTTAAAACAACATCTAATTTTGAGCATGTCGATATCCAGTTAAAATTTTGATGAGTTGGATGCACACTCCCATAGATGTTTTCATGGCATTTGATCTCTTTCTTAGCTGGAACAGTAGGGCATGTCTAATTTTTGGATGGGTGAAAGAAGTTCACTTTGAAGCAAGGAAAGCAGAGTTAGGTTTCTGTTTCCTTCCTACCATTTTTTCCCCAGAAGGCTCAAGATCAGTCATTGAACACCACAGGTATGGCAGCACATTTAAACCCACTTTCTTTTACGTTTTTTGTAAGGGCTTAGTGCCTGGTGAGCATGGAAGTAGAGTTACTGCTTAGCAAAGTCTGGCTACTGGCTTTGGTACTGAAATAGAAGCAGCTTTCTTCTAAAAATCATCCCAAAGGGCCAAGACTAAAGTGTTTTGTATTCCCATTACATTGAATGGAAATTTTTCCTTACTAAGGAGTTTGGCATTGGGATTGCTTAGAGAGCCAGACACTTCTTTTATGTAGGTCCATTAATTTCGATTCTGCTAAATGTGTATTCCTAATTGCAATAAGTCAATGTACCTAAAGAGATCAGAGAAAGGAACAGATCCAGAAGGGGGAAAACTTGTTACTGTGTGCTTTGAAGCTGTGGGATTGAGTGACCACATCGTCTTGGCTGTGACTTTCAGATTGGTAAAGTGAATGTATGGCTTTTAAGAGATACATGGTATAATTATGATTAATCAGGGCCCTTCATTTTGCATAACTTTCAATTCTGCAGTCAAGGCTTGTGTGTATAATGAATGGTTTTTATTTTCTTTCTTCTGCAACTTATCTTTGCTGACTGCACCTCTTTTCTCCCTGATGTCTGTAAGCTCTAATAAATTGAGGAGTTTAGGCAGACACTTCCTTAGGCAAGAGCTCTCCCTTGGCTGGTGATGCTGGTGAGACCTGCCTAGACTATAAAAGGCTCAGAAAAGGGGACAAGCTTTTGGCTGGAAGGCATATGGGAAGTGTAACAACTTTTACATCCCTCCTTCATCTCTTTTCTTGGATATTTAATTGGCATTAGGAAACAGAGCAGGTCATTGGATTAATAAACAAAAAAAAAGTACTGTTTGAGTCAGAGATACCCTTAGGAATTCTCCTGTTGGTAGTGCTTGTACTGATGTTATGAATTCTATGATGTTTAGTGGTTTTTAGAAATACTTTAGCTCTCAGAGTGATGTGATAAAGCAAAAATCTGAGCTCTCATCCTAGAAAAGATTCTTGCCCACGTATATGGGGAGAACAGCCTGAAGGTGTGGAGCTTTGGATTTAAGTGCACAAAGAAAGCTCACCAAACAAATATAAGGACCCCCACAGCCTTCATTCCTGTGATGTTACTGTCTTGTATAAATACCCAGAAAGTACTGGCTTATAATTTTGTGTTTATTAAGAAAATATCTCTTTCACCAGCTCCTGCTTCCTTGCTCTCAAAAGCCTGCTTGACTCATACTTAATGCCATAATATTACAGGTCAAACAAGACCTATAATACCTATATAACACAGTCCATTGTAATTTCCCAAGGCAGTATCTGCATCAAGCCAACAGCTTTATTCATCTGGTTACCACATGTTACTGGTGTAACAGTATGCCATCCAAAAAATCAGGATTACAAACCAAATAGAGTATAGGGATCAGCAGTGGCAAAGATTAGAACCCAGTGGTTGAGTCTGTCACGATATTCCTGCCTTTTTCTCCTGCTGTGCTGTTTTCCACAGGGAAGGGAAAACACTCCTTGTCCACGGGGGATGAGGTGAGAAAGGATGGGCTTCAATTGCAGCAAGTGAGATTTACTTTTGTAACAAAAACTTTCTAGGATGAAATATGCTATTAGATTGCTTGTGGGGGTTGTGGCAACTCCATCATTGCAAGTCTTTAAGAATATGTTAGAAAAACATCTGTCAGGAATGATATCTATAGAGCTGCTCCTGCCTTGGGGTGTGGAGATGGACTAGATAACCTCTGGAGGTCCCTTTCAGTCCCGTTTTCTGTGAGCTTTAATCCAGGACTTTTCATTACTCATCCCCTGAAGCCCCAAAGGTGACAGGACTATCACGCTTCATTTTTACCCTTACACAATCTTTTTTGCTGGATGATTTTTACTCATTCAGTGGTGCTGGCTTCAGTTACATTTGTCATATGATTCTCTTACAGCCTCTATTTATTAATTGTTTTTTCCAGACCATGCCCTTTAGGCCTTTTGTCTCTGTTTTTTTAATGGATCTCACTCACTTTGAAACATCCTGAAAGCAAAAGTTGTTGAGAACATAGATTTATTTTTTTTAACTTTTATTTTTTTTAATCTAAGATTTCAAATTAGACAAAATGAGTTAAAGGTGCTTTTAAATACTATTCTGCTTGTTTGTCCAGGGCAGGGTTTGGTACAGCGTGGCCCTGAGCTGTGAGTGAAGAGCTGCTCTAACAACCTTATTTATGGTGGGAACACACGAGGGACCAGGTACATGTGTACAGTGAGCACGTGGTGCTGCTGCAAGGTATAAAAGAGCTAAGGGTTGTGCTTTGAAGTGATAGTGTGGTGATTTAAAAACACAGTAAATTAAAAGCTAACCAAACCAGTGTGATCCTGTAAGTAATGGGTTTTTATTCAGGTGTGGCAGTAAATGCCCCACACAGCTGCACAGTCCTCTCTCTCTGACACAGCTGGGCTTCTCACGAGCTGGTGTAAAACAGCAGGTTCCCATTATATTTGCCCTTTTTCATCTCTTCCTGACATGGAATTAAATTCATGCTGTCATTGGTGTGTGATGGTTTTTGAGTGGTTTCTTTGCAGGTTTGTTTTAGGGTTTCCCCAACTCTCAATTTGGGTTGGTAAAGTGGAAGATTGTCCAGTAAAAGCAAAGGTGTCAGGTTTAAGGTAAACAAACCTCCTGCTTTATTTCATTGTAGTTTTCCAGTTCAGCTCCTGGGTGCCTTGGTCTGTGAAGCAGCTGTGCTAATTCTGCCTGCCTGTGGGTGCAATTGTTCCAGCCACAGCTGGGGAGAGGAAGGTGCTTGGAGCAGTCCCTGCTGCGGTGTCTGCCCCACTCCCTGCTCCGTGCTCAGGACACCCACAGCTGCCCACATCTTCCTTGGCCTTTTTGCTGGCCTTCTTCATCTTCTTCCATGGCTTAAACTGGCAGTCAGAAGATGAGAAATCCCTGGGGGCGTTCTGCATAGGGTAGTGATTCACTTGGATGTTTTATGTTCCCCTGAATATTTTATGTCCTTAAATGACTGAATTTGCAGCAGAGGAGCCGAGGTGGAGCAGCGATGGTGCAGAGGTGCAGGGCCACGTGGGGTCTGGCAGGCACAGAACTGCCTTGTGACACTCATGCTGGTCTCTGCTCATCTCTACATGCTGCAGGGTTTTCAAGTTACTTGGGTAATAATATTTACATCATCATATCAACCCTCCCTCCTCTGGACTTTTAATAAAGTTGCCTAATCCACTTATGTTACTTTTCTGAGGAGTTTTTTATAGCTAATTTTGTGCTCAGCTATATATTCTGAGTTCTGTTTTCTTCATGGCTGGATTTGATGCATTCTATTTAATTATGCACTTTAAACATAAAAAAAAAAGGAGAAAACTCACTTTGGTAGCTCTGGACTGCAGGCATTGATGTGTGCGCTTCAATCTGCCTGCTCCCTCTAAAGGCTCTGGAACCCGTGGACCCCTTCAGCAAAGTTATGAAGGCAGAATTGGAAAAGCTTGTCTTTATGGAAACTTTGATTAATTTTTTCAAGGGGTGGCCAGAGCTGCTGTGTTACAGAACTGTCAAATACCCTCTGTACAGAATCCCTGTCATCTGAATTTCAAAGTCAGAGCCATATTTTGAGAGACTTGCCCTTTTCATCCTATCTGGTCTGTGGGGGTGTTGCTGAGACTGAGCCCTGTTTGGCCATGTAAAAACAGCCTGCCAGGCTTCCTCTGCCAGGGACTTT